GAATTACTGGAATTGGTTTAGTATCTTTGAATCTTTGCTTCCATGCTTATTTCTCTGCATGTAGATAGATAGATGTATTGTTAGTTGGCACTGAATCAGCTGCACTCGTTGCAATTTCATGTATCACAGAGCAAATATTGCTTGGTTCTGTGCCATCATCTTCAAGAGTGTTGGTATGTTTGAGTCCATTGTATCAGGTACTGTGTCAATCTACCTCATTGCAAGTTTCCTTTATTTTCATTGGTCCTTCACTTAACCAAACATGATTTCTTTTACTAGCAAATAGTTTTTCCTGGTGACGAGTCCAAAGTAAGGAAGCATTCTTATATTTTTTCTAAGACTGATGTATTGTACTTATCAACATTTTTATTCCTTCTGCTGCTCTTTCTTCCATCCTGATGCTCCAAGATTCCTTTTTAAAAAATCATGTCCTTTTAGTTCAGATTTCTTTTAGCGTTTTTTTTTTTTTAGAAGGTTAGGACTGCTGACAACAAATACTCCTAGTTTTCTTTCATTCCAAAATACCTTGATTTCCTCTTTATTAATTTGGCTGGATATAGGCTTTGTGGTTGACAGTTCTTTTCTTTTAGCACTTGAAACATGTGCCACTTCCTTCAGTCTTCTGTGGTTTCGGAAGAGCAATCTGGTATCATTTGAGGTGTTTCTCTCTCGCTACTTTTAAGGTTTTTTCTTTCTCTTTAGTTTTCACAACTCTAGTTAGCCACTCCTTGGAAGGAAGGTTGTGCAATCTACTTCCATAGTGATACTGCCTCGGAAACCCAAGGAGGGCTCGCTATGAGTTGGTCCCACTCGACAGGACAGCACATAACAACAACAACAACAGTTATGATATGTCTTGGCATGGATTTTTTTTTTTTTAGTTTATCTTGTTCGGAATTCAGTCAAACTTTTGAATCTATAGGTTTATGCTTTTTTTTTTTCTTCACAAATTTGGTAAATCTTCACCCTTTATTTTTTTGAACACGTATTTAGCCCCGCCCTCTTTTCTCCTTCTGAGACTCCAATGACGCAAATATTAGATTTTTTTGTTATAGTCTCACAGGTCCCCGAGATTTTGATCATTATTTCTCTAAAACTATTTTTTCTTTTATTTAGATTGAATAAGTTCTGTTGTTCTATCTTCAAGTTCACTAATTTTTACCTCAGTCCCTTCCATTCTTCTGTTGAGCCCATACATTGAGATTTTATCTTAATTATATTTTTTAGTTTTAAAATACTCATTAGGTTCTTTTTTTATATTAACTTTTAACTGTTTCTACATGTACAATTTAGGAACTTTTATTACATTCTTCGAGTTGTACAACCTTCTCGCTGGCCTTTTCTGCGTTGTTCCTCCCTCATTAACATAAACTTACTGCCCCCTAAGGTTCTTAACTAGGAGCTCTGGTAGCATAGTGCCTAAGGCACTTGACTGCTAACCAGAACGCTGGCGGTTCAAACCCACCAGCCACTCCTCAGAAGGAA